GATACTACCGAATTCAAAGATTGAAAAATTCCTCTTCCCTCCCGACTGGTCTCGAAGTTTCGAGTTCAACTCGAGCGTCCCAAGAAACACAAACAAACAAACACTCAACTCCCGGTTCCGTGTTCGAATCCTCTCGGTACCAGAATTGCGAACATTAAAATTCAAACTCCAAAAACAGCTTACGGGCCTGGTAACCGTAAGGGCAGGTTACCAGCTCGAATCTCAACAAACCCACGCTTCTACAAACTACTTACTCTCTCCTTATTTACGCTCAAAGGGGTGTTCCCCGGTCTACACTAGCTTCAAAACCACAAAACAAACAACGAGCAAAGTCAAACACAACCAAACAACATGCATCGTACAAATCTATATCACTACTTTTTCAACAAATCATCCTACTGTCCGTCAACAACACTGCAAACAATTTCCAGATCGGGCTTTTGTCCCTGCTAAAGCTCCTCATGGCACGACCAAACCAATCCTCCGGATAGTCCTTCCTCATTTCCATCCTCATCAGGACCAAAGTATCGGCTACCTCAATGTTGCTGTTTGAGTTCCGATATATCCTGTGCAACGCGCTAATCACAACCGCCATCTTCGTGCGTTTGCACGTCCATGAAGAGAAATCCTGGAATGTCCGAAATGGAAGGTCTATCCCCTTTCGCAGTTCCTCCGCGTTTTTCATCAACTGAACTGTTCCCAGATATGGGCACTTATCTTGAATTCTCAATTTACACCCAAGAAAAACCCATTCCTCCTTGCCCTTATCTGTTCTCTCCAGCAAAAGTGCTTTATCATAACAACCCTCGAATTTCCTGATTATCCCGACTGCCTTCATCCTCGACTTCTCGCTCCTTGGATTAAAGGCTGCAAAGATGGAGGCATCATCGACAAAGCGAAGTCCCCCAACCAATCTCCTCTGTCCCCCTAATGAGATAAAAAAATTATTCTCGCTTTTTGCACACATCAGGCATGCCAATGGGGGGCTCGAGCTTTTTCTCATAGGTATGCCAACAACTTGTCTCATCAGAATTCCACTCACTTTGGTAAAGCAGAACTCCAACTCGAAGGACACAAACTCCCTCAAATACTCAAAGGTCATCATCCCAAACCCCTCCATGGTCACACTTCTGCTCAACACTGCTCCTCTTCCCCTTCTTTTTACCCTTTCTCCGAAAACCACCAGATAACCCAATCTACCGCTCTGCGAATCGTATCGTGCGGTAACTTATTAAACATGTCTTTCACGTCGTACGATGCTCCCATCACTCTCACATCCTTCCCACACCTCGCCAACTTTCTATTAATCCCAGCCAGCCTCGGTTTCATTTGGGAAACTGACTTAAGATTAAAATGATTCGACTCCGGTAACGCAAAGAGCAAGCCATTAATCGCCTGTGCTACTTCCTTACAGGTCCTAATCGACGGTTCCTCGAAAGTCGGGTATATTGGTCGGAACTTAGTGGTATCCTTATGCTTTGGCAAGGCATACGCACTCCCAACCTTCCCCTTCCCATCCCATCTACCGTGCATGTTCAAACCCCGCTTTTCATACTCCACCTGCGCTACCCTCAGTTCGGTCCCTTCGTCATTCTTGCACAGTCTATAGCTGTCATTCTCAAAGAAAGTCACCTCCATGCCTTTCGCATACAACACATGGCACATAACCAAGGTGTCGCCAGGATTCCTGTCCAGCGGCGCAAGCACAAAGCCTTTCAGCCGCTCTTTCACAAACAACACTTTTTCGAGGCTTCCATCTTTCTCCCCACATCTGTTCTTCACGAAGCAACCTCCCACCTCCTCCATACTGAAATCCACGTCTTCGATTGTCTTCCCGACCTCCCTCTCCCAGTTCTTAAGCGCTTCCTTCAATTCTTCTAACAACTTACTTGGCCTCTGCTTGTCTTCTTGCCGTGGTACATTTTTGACATTCTTGACAATTTCCGGAACCCAATTCAACTCCCCAATGTGGAAACGCACGTGCCCATCCCTCCTGGGGTAAGGCATTCCAACGCATATACAGTTGGATGCACGCTCCATCGCAAACTATCGGTGATTATGGATCAAGTCACCCACATTTGGGCATCTTGTCCATACTCCCCGTGCACGTCGTTTTACCATCTCCCTCATTGGTGGTATCAGATCCAAACCCCCTGTCTTCCTTCTAATCAATCTCGTCACTTCACTCTTCTTGATTATCCAATCGTACCTTACCTTTGCTATGATCCGCTTCCGTACGCTTAACCCAAACATGTCCTTAATTGCCCTCGATACCATGGACCTGGCCCTCGCACGGCTTCTCTTCGTCGTGGAAGTTTTAATAGCTCCATAGTACTTCAGCAATTCCACCAAGTTCTTCTTCCTTAGTCCAATTTGCTTGCGCTTATCCTTGAACATCGCTATCATCTGGTCCCTCAATTTCAGTATCGCCGGTGAAGCTTCGGTTACTCGGCGCAAGGTGACTTCGCCCTCTTGTTCGAAAAAATTCTTGCATTTTTTCAGTGGCTTGGTACCCCTTCGGAGCTTTACTCGTGTTTCCCCAAATATTCTCCTCACCACTCGCCATCCATCCGCCCATACATCACCACCACTGCACTTTAGACTCACATCACCCTTCCTTTTTTGCTTCACAATCTTCCTCAGAAAATCAGCGATCTTCACTGTCACAAGCCCAGTCGACCTATCCTGGATTTCGACAATCCTCCCTGTCGAACTACTGCCGATTCCCTGTCTCCCCTTCTTTTTTTCCCCCGTACTTCTTCGTTTTTTCTTCCCTGGTCTACTTCTTCTCTTCTTTGCCTCCTTCCCGTGTTTTCCCTGTCTTGAATTCAAAGCAGGTGACCAACGCTTTATCAGGGTACTCTCAACCGCCTCTAGTTCCTTCTTAATTTCGCTGGTATACAATGGTACGGCCACGTACTTGTGCGCACCCACCTTCCCCAGCCAATTGTACAAAGCCCTCCTCCTCTTATGCCCCCCTTTCTTACCCTGACAATATTGTTTTCTCCATCTTGCCCATAAGTCTCTCTCCGTCATCCCAATATACACTTGAGGGCGAAATTAACACGTAAACACAGCTCCTCGACTTTTCCAAGTCAAACGTACCTTTGTCCACTTCGTCAACCCAATAGTTGATGAATTTCCTTCCCCATTCTGCTTTTCCTGACAACACCAGGCCTATGACAGCGGCTCTTAGAACTCGTTCATCCTTCTTCTTCTTACCACCTTTCTCCCAGCGTCTCTCGCAAACTTCTTGTGCTACCTTCTTATAATCATATCGTCTTCACTCTGACTCTTCGTCCTCGGAATCAGTGTCATCAGATGGACTCACCACCTCCTCCTCCTTCTTGACTGTCTCTTTCGCAGCTATGCCCTTGGGATGTACTCCGGGAATCTCCGGTAACGGTAGGTGTGCTGGATCGTAGGCCATGGCTGACCTCCGAATAACCAAACGTTTAATGGTTATCTCCCGATTTTCATATGTCACCTTCTCCCTCCTACACACCTCCTTCAATTCATCAATCGTTAGTGCGTCATAGAAGTCCCTACATTCTTGCTCAAATTTTTCTTTCCCTCCGACCCCACACGACGCCATGATGTGCTTCATCGACAGATTGATCTTCCGTGGAGTCCCTGAAGATTCAGCTTCTCCTTTCGCTTCACTTTTCAATTCGCTGATTCTCCTCTTTGAGTCCTCTGATAATCTCGTACTAACTCTCTTTTCCGGTGTGACCATTGGAGGGCTATTACCCACCGCCACCTCGAGACCCCTCTTTCGTTTTTCGTTCAACTCCAACTTTTCCGCCTTCTTCCTCAGTAACTTCAGTTCTTCATCATCTGTTTCTTCTTCCTCCGATTGTGTCATGATTGCTATCCTCCTCTTCAATCTTTCTTTCTCCTTCTCCACCGTTTCTCCTTTTTTATTGAGTTTACTTTTCCCTTTTCCCTTCCTGTCATCTCTTCTGCTATATTCTTCGTTCTCCTTTCGCATCGCCCCCATGATGATGTGCAACAGCCTCGCATCCCGTTCCTCTTCCGCACGCCTCCGCTCTTCCAACTTTTTGAGTTTCCTTCTTTCCTTCTCAAATCGCACCTCATCTTCTTTCCTTTTTCGTTCCTCCTTCTCTTCCTTCTCCCTCTTAGCTTTCCTTTCCAGCGCCATCTGCACCAAATATTCTCTCATCAGGGCATTCGTGTCATCGGTATCCCCCCTCGCTCCTCCACCTTCAGCTGATCTACTTCTTCTTGCAGTATCCTCCATTGTCACGCTGGATCTTCCCATTCTTCCCGCTGGTGGCACATACGGTGTGGACACGAAAGGCACCCCACGTGCCTTGGCCTGCCAGTATTCTGCACACTCCCGAATGAAATGACCCCCTTCTCCACATTTATAACACTTTCTCCCGTCCGTCCTCCCCGACATCCCTTCTCGCGATCCTTGCTGCCCACTGCTTCCGTCACTCATGGTCGCTTCCACTGGTATTGCACTTCTCCGTCAACACCTTCTAATTCTTCCACCCAGTTTCGTACTCCACGCTGTGTTATCTCACTTCTCTTCTTTTGAAAATCGCCACTTCTTCTAGGTACAATCTCCTAGCAGGTTACGATCCTTAGTGCAGGAATAGCAACTGATATGAACCGCAGATAGCAGTCAACAACATACTCTCGACATGACTCTGACATGCAACGAGATCAAAGTTGAACTCATATTCATCTCAATTCAAAAAGAAAGAGCCCATTAACCAGTGGTGGCTTAATTGTGTCATCGTGAAGAGCGGTGATGAAATGAGGACGAGACAGGGCGTTCACAGCAAAGCTGCA